GTGTGAGGTATAGATCTTGTTTCATTTTTCTGCAAATGGATCTCCAGTTTTGCCAGCACCATTTATTAAACAAACATTCTCTTCCCCATTTAATGAATTTGGGGCCTTTGTCAAAGATCAGCTGACTATAGGTCGATGGATCTATATCTGGCGAACCACTGACTTTTTGGTTAGCAGCCAATTGCCTTAACCATTACACCACCAGAGCTCCTTAGAAAATATAAAGGAAAAGATAAACTATTTTGATACTTGAGCTCCCTTCTATTCTTTATTCATCTGTTCAGTTACTCAGGAATTAGTAGAGGTAGAGGTTTCTGTTGTCACACAGAATAATTCAGGAAGCACCTTTAACTCTAGGTTTTCCCACAAATTTTAATGTACATTGTTACATGTGCTGTATTTGGGAAAACATGTCTTCATATAGAAATCAGTTCTTGCCCGTCTCAGATCATGCCAACATCGATAACAACACAGTATAATATAAAAATACTTGATGCAGCCAGTTTAAAGATATCTTTTTACTAATTTTTGCTTTTGTCATTCAACAGGTTTGATCTGTGGATGAAATGAATCATGATTTTCAAGCTCTTGCATTAGAATCTCGGGGAATGGGAGAGGTAAGTATTTATGAATACTAGGAATTTATATCTCACTTTTGATTATTTGATCCATTGAGAATTTTTTAATCATAAATCCTGGAAATGATGGTTATGTCTGTCAGATGATGTTGGGTTTAATCTTACATCATACAATTCTGTAGTTGTAGTGATTTTCAGATTTGGAGGTTTTGTTTTTTAACGTTTAGTAGTCATTTTAATGTGATTATTTGTATCTAGGTTATCTGATTGAACAATTAAAAGAATGTCATATTTTGTTAATAAACTAAAATTAGCTTAGCTCAGAGGAGAACACTCTTTATTCTTGTCCTGATGTTTTTTTGTGTGCTACTTTAGCTTTTGCCACACTTGACTGATCACTGTTGTCCCTTCTAAAATCTGTCTTGTGTACCCATAGCTTTTTGCTTAATAAACTCCTAATCTTCCATAAGACTATACTGAAAAGATTCATATCTGTTGTCCTATTGCTTTCTGCAGTAAAATTAATTACTTCCTCATCTGACTTTTCATAGTTTTTTTTACATACTTTCATTATATTACTGGTTATAGTTTATTTGTTTCATATTTGTTTGTCTTCCTTGTAGGTTGCTAGCTTTGAATGCCTAGCACACAAGTAGGTACTCTAAAATTTTTTATGGATTTTATCAATCTTGGTAATTAGTCATTTTCGTTGGACACACTATTTAACCTCACGATTACAAATTTTAAGATAATTACAAATACTTAGCTTTCCATATACCTAATGAGTATTTAGAAAACTTGGATTATAAATACCCCTGTGATCACATCTTTGTCAAGTTCTGTAATACCTAACATAGTGTGGACTTTGATAATAGAAGATAAAACTGAACAGATCTAAGACATGTAATTAACTGCTTGCTCCTGGAGATTATTTTACTTTGGTAGATTAGACCTTCATGAGACTCACTCCGTCAAATGCTGTGCTCTTCAGATGCAGAAAAAGAGTCCAGTCACTCCTCTGGGCCACAAGAGGGCACTCTGCAGCTAGCTAACCCTCCCCTTCTCCAGAACAGCGTTTTCCAAAGAGTTTGTCATTTTCAGAGGACTGATTTAAGGGTGAGTTAAGGTGCTTAAGCTTAAGTATTGCCAAAATAAACTTGTTAGTCCAGTGCGTAAAATAAAATTCTGGGCCCTAAGAGAAGTTTTAGAGAAGGAATAGTTTTTTTCATTCAGACATGAAACATACAGCTTCAATGCAGTATAGTGGCTACTTAGGCATTATTTATGTTATAGGGGAATAAAAGAGGCAATTAGAAAAGGGCTTTCATTCGTTTTCTGTCACTTGGTTGTCTCCTTTGATCTTTAGAAAGCAAAATAACATACCTTAAAACATAGGTTTGAACAGTGTTTCAACCTTCTAGTCTGTGACAAACATGAATTTGCTGATTCTTTTATGAGCAAATAGAGTCATATCCCTACTTAATTCTAGTTAGACCCTCTACTCTTTATTTCCCAGATCTACACTGTATGTATAACTACAGATTGATTTTTTTTCCTCCTTTCTAAACAGCATTTGAAAACTCCAGATGCTTTGCAGTTCAAAAAATGTCATTAACAGAAATAGTTGAAAGGGGTTAGTTGTTGGGGAGTGGAAGAGAAGAAGAGTATGTGAGGCTTTTGGAAAAGTGGAGCTGGTATGAATAGTATATTAAATTAGGTTTAAACCCAGGCTTTTTTCATGGAAATGTTAGTATGCAGATTAAAAATGTTGAGGGTTTAGTCTGGCTGCTACTTGGTAGATAGCAATAGGTCATGGTGTATCTATGACCATCTAATAAAAATGTATTTTGAGATAAGCTTTTATTCACTAATTATTTTTACTGTTACCTCTAAGATAGCTAAGAAGCCTCAGATGTCTGTCTCTGGGTTCTCTCTCCCACAAGCCTTTCTATCTTTCCTCATCTCACAGGCAGCAGGTAACCTTCTGGGATTTCCTTCTTTGCCTGTCTCTCTCTCACCAGTCTTCTCCTCCTTTCCTGACAGGTGAGGTTTATGATTTTGTTTTATCCCAGAATTTATTCATTGGAATAAATTAAAAGCAGCCTCTTTTAATGTAAGGCTGTTAAGTTTTCTAAAACTGCTTGTATGGTTTTTTAGTCTAAAATCCATTTTTTATGAAATTCCCAAGTCTTGATTCTTTAAAAAATAAAGTTTTTGCTTATTATGTCTTAAGTTGTTATAGCTCTCTAATGTATGAAGACTGAATTTACATTCAAGACTAATTTCATAGGTACTGATTTTTTGTAACTCATGATGACTTTACTGACCCATCATTAGAAGGGCAATCTCTTTTAGTTGTTTATCCAGAAATAGGAATGGAATTGTATTTATCTATTCATGAATTCATCCTTTCCTTTTTTTTTTATTAATAGCTTCTTTTTGTCTAAAGGCCTGACTTGAATTATGTCATATGACTTAAAAGGAACAAAGCTAATCTATAGGAGATTGGGCTTGGTTTAATTAGGCTAATATTTTGATTAACTACACTGCAGAGGCACACATCTCTACCTGCTCTCTTCTCCAAATTATTGTATGTATATGTGACAATAGATAATAGATAAAGAAGACCCTACCTGGAATTCTTCTTGGAACCCAGAATTTAACTTTAGATCGCTGAGTTAATATGTTTTATTTGGGGAGTATTTTCATAGCTTAGTATGATAAATAATGCTCCCTCTTTTCTTTTGTGACACAGTGACATTTAAAATATTTATTCACCAAGTGATACTCTACTCTACACACCTAGGGTGACCATGAGTCGGAATCGACTCAGTGGCAACTAACAACAAACAACAAGATCCCCAGGTATTATAAAGTGATGTAGAACATAGTGGGTAGAAAAGTAAGGAGACTTCAGATTTTTTTTCTTAGCTCAATCATGAGTAGTATGAGTTTTCATAAGACTGGCTTCTTTGAATGCAGTATTAAGAATAACCATTCATATGTATACCTCTCAAATGCTCTAGTTCTGATCTGAGTTTAGGGATAACTGGTATGGAAATCAATTCTTTCAGTGGAGAACTGTAGTTTTGGTTATATAATCCATATCTTAGAGTCTATCCATATAATATGAATGGCCACATTATATGGGAAGAATATCATGATGGTATCTTATACGTGTATTTTTTTTTTTAATTAAACCTAGTAGTATTCAAATACTGGAAATTTTCTAGAATATTGATGAATTGAAATCTACTACCTACTGTGATAGTTGAGTATAAAGAGCATTGGCCTTAGAATTAAACACATAGTGAGTTCAAATCCTGATGCTGTCATTTCTTAACTTTATACGTAATAGCTTTGGACAGTTTATTTTAACTTATTTATGATTCTTCATTTTTTTTTGCACAATCTGTTTTCTATGGTATGAAACTGTTCTAAGTAATAACCAAGAAAAAAAAAAGGAAACCAAACTCACTGCCATCGAGTTAGATCCAACCTTGGGTTTACAAGGTGGTATCACTATGGAAGTAGATTGCCCAATCTTCCTTCTGAGGAGTGGCTGGTGGGTTTGAACTGCCAGCCTTCTGGTTAGCAGTCAAATGTCTTAGGCACTACGCCACCAGAGCTCCCTTCTAAGTAATAAGTATTGGGATTTCATGATCCCTCCCATGATACCCAAACTGAATCAAGGAAAGAAAGGCAAGTAATGCAGACACAGTCGTTGTAATGAATAATATTACCATCCTTTGAAACAACTAGCCAGCCACATGTTGCTGAACAATGTGTCATTAATGTTTTATAAAATTAAAGGATTCATGTTTGGTAGTGAAGAGACCTGATTTTTATGTGTCTGCTATGTACTAAGATTCTGTGCCAAGCAGTTTACTTAACATTATTTTATTCTAACCTTGTAATAGCTGTATAGCAAGAGCTTTATTGTTATCCTTACTTTACAGATAAGGAAACTGGCACTCAAAAAATTTAACTAACTGATCCAGAGTCACTTAATAGTTATTGGACAGTAGTTTGACCTAATGAGTGTCTGTTTCCAATACTACTTGCCTCTGGAAATGACAACATTAATGATATTTGCTAATGATATTAATGGATAATAGGAATGGAGATTTGGGGAAGTGATCTGAGTTGAAATATTTAAGGAATGTTAATATCTTTTATTAACAGAAAAGATAAAATATGGGAAAGCACCAGTCTGGGGTTCTAGGGCATTAACCTTGTGTTTTTGTTCTCTATACAACCTAGTTATTAGCATCTATACCTATCTTTTTATGCACTTCTGTTGTAAGTAGTATGACCGTATATCCTGATCTGCCTAGAAGAGTCCACGTATATGCCTATTGTGTATCCTTCTTCTGAAAAATGCCCCTGTTTGGATTATGAGTTATATGAACACCTTACTGTCAAACATAATGTAGACACTGAAACTTTGTATTTTTTAATTCTTTAGATTTTGTTAATTTGATGGTTTTGAGGATTTCACATAATTTACAGTAGAAAAATACTTTAAGTATAAGTACAACTCATATTGTGCGATAAGTGCAAATTCCTCTGTATAGCAGGAATTTTTTCTTTTCTTCTTTTTTTTAAAGGCAGTATGCTAGGGTACTGACTGATTTGTTTGTGGAAGTAGACCCAGCAAGCCATTAATGCTTCTTGAAGGAAAGAACATATAAAACAGTGAGCAGTTAGGGAATGAATTTGCATGTCTGCTCAATTATTTCTGAGTTGGAAAGACAGAGGAGCAGGTTAACAAATACCAAGTTATCTGACTGCACGTTAGAGCTTTTGTGAATAGGAAATGAATATGAATTGATGCTAGCTCATTTAATTTACAGATCTTTAAGACCTCAGCCATTCTGTTCTGTAATGTTCTTCCCATTTCTACTAAAGTAAAAGAATTTCCAGGGCAAATATCTGCATTAATTGCTATTCCAATCAATGTATCATTTAACTTTTTTTGTAACCGTTCAAGCCTGAGTTCCTGCCCTATGTTATAGTTGGTCCATTTTAACCTGCTC